AATCACTATTAATCATATTTCTTTTTGATTTTTGATTCAGATTTTCTAAAAAGGACTCAGTAAGAGGCTCAGACACAAACATTACAAATCTTCTCAATGATCAGATAAATAACTACAAGCAGGTTTTTCTCCTTTTTATATGACTAGAGCTATAATGAAATAAAACAACTCTAACGGGCCACAGGCAAAAATAAAATTGTAATTCATTTTAATGTTACAGGCAAAAATAAGATTGTAATTCATTTTAATGTTACCTCAATACCAAAGAATGAACAGCTAGTAAGAGAGTGAGTCTAAAATGGTAAACATGAGGGTACTTCAAAAAGTTCGTGGAAAAGTAAGATTAACAAATAATACCTATCCTTCCATGTACTTTAAGTATTATAAATTTCCTCTAAAATTTAACAGATTATTTTAATGTTCATTTAAAATAATTGTGTGTAGGGAAAACAAGAGGAAGCACCAATATTCTCCTAAAACAGAATATACCAGTTACTCTTCTATGACATGGCCTTACCTACTTTAAAAACCGTAAGATTTGAAACATCCTGGGAAGGAAGAGAAGAGGCAAAAGTTTGTATCGGAAGCGAATACTGAAGACTATGTCAGGGTAAGAGTCACAGCTGGAGTGAATTTAAGTAGCTTTGTCCTCTTGCTCTCCCAATTCTAGCACAGAAATAAAATGATGTATGCACATACTTAATCATTAAAATACTTTTCTTGCTATTGATGAGGTAAATTTCCACTTTTTATCAACTATCAATTCTCTGTGGTTCGCAGTGAAAGAAAAGGAACATTAATGTAGATTGTTTCAAAATCTTTTAAATTATTTTGGAAAGTTTAATCTTAATAATGATTTGCTTCCCCGATTATGTTTAGCGTCAGCTGATGACCAAACAGGATAGCAGGGATAAGTTGGGATGGGTTAAAAAAAGAAAGTCGTGGATAATTTCAGACAGTGAAGAGATCACCTACAGAAAATAGAGTATATATTTTATTTCAGTGAGCACTTTCATGAATGTTCCTGCATGCAAATAAATGCAGCATTTTTAAAAAAGAAAATGTAATCTACAAGTATCAGTGCTCTCTAGCCAACTCCCTCAAGCTTCTGTTTCCATGCATTTCAAGAATTTGTTTCTCACATCATAACTTCATGCAAACCGCTGACCTTCAAGTGTCCAAGTTATATTAGAAAATCATAGAATCTGAATTTATATTAAACCAGTTTCAGCTTCTTTTTAGAGAAATATGCCAGGAAGCTTATCTACATTTGAAGTATAATTATTTGTCATTGTTCTATTGATCACTTTTAAAAATTCAAAATGCTATAGCATTGCATTTAAATTAAACTCATCTGCTAGTCTCAAAAAGACAGATCAAGGAGTAAAGACTAAAAGAAGTAATTACAAGCACAAATTCAAAAATTTTTCATTCACACACAAAACATTGTGAATTGCAAAGGCAAATTGATTTTTTAAATGCTTGGGTTTCTTAAAAAATTTGTTTTGAAGGTGGATTGTAAAAGTCAATACCTCAAACTCCAGGAGTGATGGTGTTCTTAATCAAAATATATTTATACACATGACATTAAAGATTTTGTTTGAAATTACTTTTGATGTAAAATATTTGAAATAGTCTTTTCAGGAATTGAAATACAAAAATATTGAAATATATTAGTATTTATATACATAACAGTAACCATCCTACAACTTGATTTACTACATATATATGAACTACCTTTAAAAACCTATTAGCAATAGGTGTAAATGGGAAGTCAAATTAAAACATTGTAAATAACATAGCAAATATCTGTTGTATAAATTCAGCTAATCTGTTGTACAAGTTTGCTAATTTGTATCAATCACCTGAATACTACCATTCCTAATTGTATGTAAGTTTCCATCAGAACTCAAAGCTGCGTTTTTGAAAGCAAACCTAAAAATGAGAACTCTAACACCTCTGGAGGACAGTATGTTTTTTTCCTGGGCCCTATAAATCTTTTCTAAAATTTAAGGGCACATTTCCTAGGAGTAATTCTTCAAATAATCCACCTTGCCTACAGAACAAAACTTCGATAAGTAAGAACCTTTCTCATATGAAATCAGGCTACAGTGAATCAAGAAAACCTTGGAGCCCCTTAAGTCTCATTTTCACTCTTGTAGATTAATGAACTATTAAATTTCTTCAATAATATCTTCTGCAATGGCAATAAAAATTTTTATTTTAATTATCCTGAAAAATTAAAACAGACAATTGTTCAATTTCCATTTACGAAAAAGAAGAGCAAAAATTAAGTTTCTAATCTGTCTACTTGGAGTTGCATTCCACAGTTTCTTCTTTCTGTATCCCTGAAAGGCATTTATTTCAACATCGTCACTCAAGGATAAAGGGCGGAAGGGCGCGGTCAAACTTACTAGGCCTCAGGCTAACACTATAGAATTGATCAGCTGATACTTTACTTTCAATCTTCTCAATCATAATTTGTTACTATGATAGATGAAAATTTAGCCCAGCTACATTTCAACTCAAGTGTTTCTCTATACTAAAAAGAAGTGACATCTTTCCTGTTGAATAGTCTTTCTAATTTCCATTCCATTTCCGAAAATAAGAATACTAAGAATTTTGGCAACCACATAACTAGTGGAACAAAGACAATAAAGAGACCCATAAATATCCAAAGAATTCCTTTTTCTACTTCTAAGGAGAGAGATTTTTCTCTATCTTTCTTCATAACGGTATACAATTTTATCGGCTAGACAAGTGAGAAGGCTGAATATACGAAATATAATCTTCCCATTTATCAGCTATTCTGCTATTCAACCTAACGTTTTGTTCTGTTTTACCGTTATCTCTGATATGTTACAATTTCCTCACAAACCAAACGTCCAATTTAAGGATCTGTTGTTACAGCTAAGTAAGAATAATAAAATAAATTCCATAAAAACGCTAAGTTATGGAGGGCACATTAGAAACTCAACTCATTTGTAAAATAAGTAAATACTCAATTTGAGAAGACACACGTATACTTGCAAATGCTTCAAGAAGCATAATTAAATAGGTATTGGGAGGGATAGCAAAATATGCATACATATTTTATACCTGTTTATATAGAGATATATCATCAAAACATAAAGGGCCTGGGATGGATTCCTCAGTCCACTCTGTGTGCTGCCATGGCGAGTGACAGTGCTTACGTAACGGATAATTTGACAGAGGAACATCAGGTGTTAGAGACCGATGGGGTGACAGAGACAAAAAGCACTCTACAGAAACTCCCGGAATATACATGGATTAGAATCAAAAGGAACCTCAAAAGATCACTGGGTCCGTCCCCCTGTCCTTAGCGGAACTGCACATTAAGCTAATAACATGGAATTTGAAGTCAGTAGCATTAGACAAGTCCTATGATTTGGGTTGAGAGTATCCATTCTTTCTAACCCATGCCCCATCTACTGATTAACCTCTAAGGGCCCTTAAGTCCATTGCTATTGAAAATGTCAGGGGTCCAGGAGAGGAAAGGGTAGTGAGAATGGGCACGTAAGCAAAGGTAAGTGTCCTTGTGTGAGGACGTGCAATGGTTATTTATGTATGTAAGTGTATGTATGTAGTTTCCTTGAGACCTTTAAAAAAATCCTGTGACTGCAGACTTTGTAATCCTTTGAGAGGATAGCTGAAACGTTTGACATTTCAAAGCTCTGGGAAGCATTCTAGAACTGCAAAACTAGTAAAACCGTCCCCGTGAGAGGGCGGTAGGGGGCCAGCCTCGGCCCGAGTCTTCCCTCGCCATCCATCCAGGACTGGCCCTCGCTGTCAACATTCACCCTGCCGCCTGCGCTGTGGGCAGGGGCGGCGCAGGACACAGCGCACAGATCCGCAGCAGCGATCCCCTCTGAGGACACAAGGAAACGCTGATCTGTAGGGCATGGGCCACCGCCTGGGGATAACAATTGTGCTGTGCGAGGTGCGTGTGCGTTTGGCAAACTGACTTTCGGTTTTGGCTTCCCACAAAAGGAGCAGAAGGGGGAGCTGTCCTGATTCCCAGTGCCCACAGAGCCCCCTCTCCTGGCCGCTGCGCGCTGGCCACAGCTGGTGCCTAGTGTGCGCGCCCTTGTCTCAGCGTCTATTTGTGTAACTGTTCGCAAGTGACTGTCAATCTGTCTGACGGAGACGCAGCGGAAAATTGCCTTTCGCAAAAACGCCTCCGGCGTCCTTGCTATACCGCTGGCGCGTAAGACGCTGTCATTGTCACTTCATTATTTTGCTTCCTCCCGGATGATTTATTTACGATTCTACATGAGTGAGAAATGCGCGTCTACTGGAGTTGTTTTCTGACCGTGACCTTAGTTCTTTGAAGTGAGAAAGTGGTTGGGGAGGGAAGAACAACCTGGAAAGGGGTAAAATCCCTCTCCGCATTGTAAAATGAACATATAAACCAGGTCTGGTTTAGCGCCCAGGACCTGGACTCAGACTGTCAATACCGACATCCCGCTCTACCACTTATACTAGCTGTGTGCCTTGGGCAAATTGCAGATCTCTTGTGCCTCAATTACTTCATTCGTAGAATGGGAAAGCAACAGCTCCTGGCATATCGAGAAGTGAAGATTTAATGAGTGAACCTGTAAAACGTTTAGAACAGTGCCTGACACGTAATAGTTGCTATGTATCAGCTGCTATTCACGTAAGCTGCATCACCGTTCTAAATGTAACGACCATTCTGGCCACTTTCCTCACGGGAACAATCTAGATCTTGGTATGTGCCAAAGTCCCAAAGCACAGGTGAGACAGAATTCTAACCCGCCCACTCCGTGCAGTGCAGAGCAGCAGCCACCCTGACGCCCCCGCCCGTGCAGACCCGGCTTCAGGAGCCCCTCCCCAGCGGCTGTGCGCGCTACACCTGAGGCAGCGCTGGAACGTTGCCGGGAGTAACGACAAAGGGCACGCGTGAGAGCGCTGGTCCCTACCTCTCCTGGCTGAAGAGTGTGTTTGGGGGGTTTTCCTACCTGCCCCAGGTTTTTGCCCTTCTTACTGCCGCCGAAAGCCAGTCCTTGGTATATGCCCGCAGATCGATTGGAGGCCTGGGCAGGCATCTCCCCGCCCAGAGAGGACTTGATGGAGTTGAGTTTGGCCCGCGAGCTGCCGAGCTGTGAGCTCTCCACCATCAGCACCGCGGCCAGTAGGAGCAGGCAACGGGACGAATCCTTGCCCCGCATCAACGCGGCCATCTCCCAGCGAGGGGTCCCCAGGGAGGCGCGAAGCCTGGAGGGGTGCTAGTGCAAGGGGGGAGAGGATCCCAACACGAAACCCCTCACTCGGGCCGCGGAGGCTCGCAGACTCTGCTCCCTCAACCCTTCCTGGCTCGGGGTCCCAGGACCTGTGAACTCAGTCTCACGCCTCAGGCCAGGAGGGAGCGCGACCCAAGCGAGACGCGCTTCTCCACCAGGGCAGGAAGTTCTGCAGTAACTGGAAGCAATCAAAGGCTAGGCGCCTTCTCGCCGAGGAGGCGTCACCGGGGTGCGAGAAGACCCAGGCCGGCGGGTCGCACCGCTTGCGTTGCTCCTTGCCCCGCACCGCCGTGTTCCCGCTCGGATCTCCGCGGTTCAATCCTCCTCGTAACTGACTCGGGAGGTCCGCACCAGTTCCTTCTGCTTCGGCCTCAGCTGCTTTTCTCTCCTCTCTTTTCCTACCCTTTATGTCTCAACCTTTGCAGGACACAAACCCTCCTTTTGAAGGTTAGCAGGCTCTGTAAAGGGGGATCAGGAACCGCCCGCGGACTGGACCCTCGATATCTCAGGCGAGCCGAGGTCCCCCTCGCGCGCACTCCCAGTCGCCCCGAAGCGTTGTTCCCTGGTTCACACGGGACGAGCGACCGCGGCCAGCGTCGCCGCGATGCCCGGGGAGCGGACTTGCGCTCGGCGCGATCTCCCGCTCTCGCTCTGCTCTCTCCCCCCGCCCTCTTTGCTTTTTATAGCTTCCAACAGTGGGGTTTTTTTTTCCTCCGCCCCCAATTCAAGAGTGACAAAGAGTGAAAACGTTTCTCTCACCCCCACGCCCCCGCCCCCTCTTTCCTTCCCCCGCTGCTGTTCTTTCCGCAGCGTCCCCTCCTGATTCTCCCCCTCCTCACCCTCCCACTCCTCCATGCCACAACGATTGGAAAAATGGGATTCACCCCTCAGAAGAACATTGGGGCTCCTAATATCTCACAGTGAGTGGAGGGGCCTTTGGGAACAGGCGGAGGGCAAATGTAGACATAGAGAGGGGCAAGCTGCCAACAGGCGTCGTGACCGCCATCACCCTTGCTCAGGTTCTCCAACCCATCCTCAGCCCCTGACTTCACGACGAGCGCTGGAAAAGCCCTACACAAACTTTAGAGAAGCGAGCGTAATATCTAATATCGTGTTCTGGGTGCGTTCAAGTTTGGTTTTAGTCTGTGCCTCCCAGTGAGTGTGTGAGGCTGTGCCATAGAAGTGCGCCTGGGGTGCCTAATGGATCAGGATGGGCTTTTAGAATGAGGGTGAGGAGGACCAAAGAGGGAAAGAGATGAGCCTCTTCTCTCCCTCCGGAGGCGTTTGGATCTTTCCAGTCTCATCCTTCTCCACTCCTGACCTCGCCACACACATAGCATATGTCTATGTCTCTGAGGGATTGGGAGGAAGAGGGTGCCCCGGGTACGCTCCAAGGTTTGGACCTTACAGCTTGATTGGGCATCTTATACAGTGCCAGGCAACTGTCCTCTTTGCGAAGAGAAAATCCCAGACAGGAACGAACTGAATGGGGGCAGGGAGCCTCTGAGGTCCTGCTTTCCTTGGTTTCCTGCCTCCTAGCCCCTGGGAATTCCAAGGGAAGCCTTTCTTGTCATCCCGGAGACTTCCCAGGTCCGGTCCTCTTCTGCGAAGGTCGAAGGCTGCTTGGCGAGGGACTGGGACGCGCGGGTGCGCGGCACTTGGGGGCGCCAGTGTCAGCCGCTGTGCGAGGTGCGGAAGCATGGCAGGACACGAGCCGTCCCGGCAAGCGCTAGGCTTAGTGAGGTTTGGCCGTCAAGAGCCAAGGCTTCCAAAGCAGTGTAGGGGTTTTTCGAAAGTTGTTGCAAACATGTTTGCAGGCACTAACGTCCCGGAGCAGAGAAACCGAGCTACAGAGACACAACTAGGAGTTAGACGGTGAGGCTGGCAGCGAGGAGAGAATGCCCGCAGCGTGCGCTTCAGAATTTGCGGACCTGGGTTCCTCAGCTTTCACACTTGATCTTGGCACACACCAGCATGTCCAGGAGCACGAATGTTAACATGTCGCTAAGTGACAATGTTAGGGTCCCTTTATTTTCCCCCAGACTACGCTGAGACTTGAAGTGTGGATTTAGAGATGGTCTCTCTCAGACAGCTCCAGTTTTGCCTATTTCTTTCCTGACCTATTTATGAGTCTTTCTGCCCTGGAATTCTTCCATTTTCAGAAAGTTTTGTTTTGTTTTGCTTTGCTTTGCTTTTTTAACATACAAGCAAACAGGGATTAAAACTTGATAAACCCTGTGGCATGTTTTCTTATCTTTGGATTGCCTTAGGTTAGAGATTTTCACATTTTAACGGTATTTTGTTTGTTTTTTACTTTTTAAAAATATGCCTAGGAATAACACATGGATGACCCTTGAGGACATCATGCTAAGTGAATTAAGTCAGTCAAAGAAAGACAAATACTGCATGATTCCACTTATATAAGGTATCTAAAATAGTCAAATTCATAGAATCAAAGAGTGGAATGGGGGTGACCAGGGGCTGGGGGGAAGGTAGAATGGGGAGTTACTATATCAATGGGCATAAATAAGCTCTAGAGATCTTTTGTAAAACATCCTTCATATAGTCAACAATAATGTACCATACACTTAAAAACTTTTAGAAGGGTAGATATCATGTTAAATGTTCTTACCATGATATGTATATATATATATATATGTAAAGTTTTACATATATATATACACATATGTCTATATACACACATACATGTATACACATTCAAATATACATACACATACATGTGTGTGTGCACGTACACACCCAGGAATTAATTTTTAAGTTTGTAAGAATAAGGGAGGTATTATAGGCACTAGAGGAAGGCAAGGAAAATGACCCCTACTCTGTGAAAAAGTATGGGGGATTCAGAGCTTATATTTTGCCTTCATTCTGATTTGCCAATCAGGAAATATTACAGAAATGGAGAAAATTAAGTTAGGAATCTTCTGGTTTGAATATTTTTGAAGAGTATTTTAGAACAAAAGGAAAAGTCAAGATATAGCTAAATATTCATATGTAGGCAACGAATCACTCTACGTTCACTTGGAAGGGTGTAGACTTTGACCATAAGTTAAAGAACGAACTCAAATGAACCAAGAGAAAATTTAAAGATGTTTTGCCTATTTCTGTTACTTCCCTCTTTCCTTACCTCCATCCAAAATAATGTTCCACATATTGAGGCCTAACTCTTTTTACATGTACTGCTAAACAGAAAAGTCATGTCAAGATCAGTATGGTTATTCTCAAGAAACCCCTCAGCTTTGAGTACCATAATAAAAGATTATCTCAGAGGCTAATGCAACACTCCACAAGCTCCAAAAGGAAACTTTTACAAATATAGTTAAAATCAAAGTTCACATGAAATTTACTTGCACAAACATTTTCTCATATAAAACAAAATCATGCATATGGAATTAAATGCTAAAACATACACAACTATACCTTAGGCTAAAAAAGAGGCAAAAACTAATTTTATTCATGACCCAAATGTTTTCTGTAAAATTGTTTGACAGAAACAGATGCATAAAACCCATATGTAGACAGGTAGATATGCATACACAAAATCAACTAACTGCAAATAAACATAATCCTTTGGATTACTGTCATAACCCCATATGAGTTTTTCCTTGTGTGTTTTCTTCAGTATAAAGACACAATCCTATATTTTACTTGAAAAAATAGATTTAGATTTTTTTATGCCATTTGCAATAACATAATTAGAGAGTAAATGTATAAAAACAAGGCTGAACAGAAGTAATGATAGGGCCCTCTTTATACAGAAGAAAGTTCCTCTGTGTACACTTTTTTCCTTTGGAAATACATTCCATCCTCTCTGCTCTTCTAGTTGTGAAGCCACGTTGCATAGAAAAGCCACAACTTTCTCACCAGTTACTACTGGATCCTGGATACTTCTGAACACTTAACTCTCAAAGGCAAGTTAAATGTACAATTTGTCACCTTATTCTTGTTTACCAAAACTTACTATTTTTCATCCCATTCTCTCTTTTCCTGCATTAGTGACTGCTTTCTAAAATAGTCTATTTATCAGTTGCTCAGTGCGTTCACTGTACATTCATTAAGTGCAAGTCCCTGATGACACAGTGTGCCTCTAGCCCGTCTCAGGAGTTGCTGCTGTGAGCCTTCCTCTATTCTCACCTACTACTGAATTCTGCCAGTCTCAGAGTTCAGTCTCTCACAGGATATTTGCAAGATGGCTCGAGTCTAATGGGAATAAAACAGATTAAAAATACCCTCCAGAGTACTTTCCTTTCCTCGGAATTTACATGTACATCTTACTAATGTACATAGAAACAGTGGTTGTACATTTGTGGTTGAACCCAAAGAAATGACCCTAGTGATGACCAGTTTAGGGTAGTAAGAACAGAAGTAGTGTATTATGGCAAATTTGTGAAGGGAAATTACTTTTAGGTATGTTTTATAAGACCCCAAATCATCTTGCACCAAAGAATGGACATGAGAGACCTTCATGATCTAGATGGATGTTAAGGAACTGGAAAATAAGATTATGTGAGTTTCCTTCTCTATAGTAAACCAAGCTACCTGTTTCTGTAGCCTAGTAGTACTCATACTTTGGATCTTATCACGTAAGAATTTTATGTTTCTCACCCTGCATAAAGGACAACAGTATCATGTGTTGCTGTCAATTACATTTTAAATTATTTGCAACAAATATAATCTAGCACTGGCTGTGAAAATCTTTTGTGTTCCTTGATAGGAATAATTCTTATACCATATATGAGAAATTATATTTCTTATCTAACCCCTCTGTTAGTTTCAGTTGTTAACTCTATTCTGCCTTGATCTCATGGACAGCAGGACCAGCTAATGAGAAAAGACATTGTCCCTTACATTTGGGTCACTAGCTGTGCTTGACACAAACATGCACACATGAAATGGTTCAGGGGATTTCACAGTAAATCAATCAGAAACATAGTAATTGCTCAGCCAATGGCTTGTCTTCGGAACCTTGACAAATCAGTCATTCTTCTCGATACTTTACCTGCTACCTAAATGAGAGAATTATTGAGCAAATATTTCCCCTTGAGCCTGAACCCAACTAATTCAAAAAATGCAAATAACATAATCTGAAACTCAGGCAGATAAACTGATTCTTGTGTATGGAAGTAATCATAGGTGAAGTTCAAATTAGAAACAATCTCTAAATTTTTAATACCAAATTCTTCCCTTTATGGATACACAATTTCCATTGGTTCTATACCCTGCAA